CACCTATGTGGGTACTGACATATTTATGCCAAACAAGAGAATTGGATCATGTCAAATAGAAACACGATTGTGATTGGAGCGTAGAAAACTTGGCACCTCCCATCCACGAGCACTTGTTAGTTCTCATTGAATTTGTCCCCACGGGATCACACTCCCCATTTGTTCTGGGCCTTCTGTGTTTTGCCTATCCTGGAAAACCACCACCACGTTTTCCCACTTCTAAGCAGTCTCCCATCCAGACTCATCAGCCAGTTCACGCTTTTTTGCCAAGTGTCGGCTAGAGAGAGCCACTGGCTCACGACGAGCCTGGCTGGCATGCGTCAAGCTTGTTGGAAATACCACCGTGTTCCTTTACAAACAATCTAACTCAGCAGCAATCAGCAATGCTCCATTGCAAACACCAGGAAACTTTTCAACAATCCTGGGATCCATCCTTCAGAAGCATAAGCTTTATGACTCCTGTGATTATAGACACAAAGACCCCTTAATTAGCCGGTTTTGTCACAGAACAAGCTGTGCGTGTGCATTGAAAAGTAAATATATTCTATAGCTTTTACCCTCAAACTGATATTTCAAGGGGCAAAAAAGCCTTCCACCTCTAAACAGCCTATATTTAAGTGGTGTGCACCTGTTACAAAACTCCAGCTGACAGCGTAATCAAAGCCCTTGCAAATATATTTTTCACTATTTGTTGCCAACTCTGATTAGTGTTATTGCTTTCATAGCAGCTCATAGCATACTGAGATGAACTAAAAGTTTTATGGGAAACACAATCCACTTTCACTCCTTTTTTTAAGGAAAAATGCACATTAGCCTATTTTAATACGCATTAGCTAAAGAGCACTTTTTGGTTGTTTTAATGCACATTAAAATAGTGGGTATGTCTACACATGCACTTCAATGTGCATTAGCCTAATTATCAGTATGATGCAGTATGATATTTTCTTCTGACAGTAACCAAAGGTGGAATAACATAGCCCCCCTGTGATGCACTGATGCAGAATTATTTGACAGAGCAGAAGAACAAGCCACTCATACTAGCTAGTTCATTAGCTATCCCTTTAGAATAGCATGGTGCCATACATAGTATTTGAAACATTGATAAGAAATGCCCTAGAAACCATTTCTTTGGCTTTGTCCAACTCCATACAGGATAGCAACGGTATCCTGTTCAAGTAAGATCAGCGAGAGAATCAAAACTAAGACTCCCTTGAATTGAAATTGGTAGGTAGAAGGCTTGAAATTAGCAGGTAGAATTTGAATAAAGGCTGTAATTATTAAAAGTGACCATGTCTGGTGAACTGCTGTGAAAAAGGCTGATAACGTCTCCCTTGCTGATGGATGAAGGAGCTGAAATGAGGCTAGAATCCACACAAACATGCATCAAGAAGCAGCAAATGTAAAAGCTTTTGGAGGCTCAAAGAAGGGTAATTAACTCATTCTTTCTTTTTTGTCTCTCTCATTTTATAAGCGTCTATTTCCTGGCTTCATCCTGAAAAGAAAGGACAAAAATAGCCCAAATTAAAATGGCTCTCTGTGCTGGGTCCTGGTATCTCCAAAGACACCAAAGACAACAACGCTTTGCAAATAGCATGAATGAGATGTGATCTCCCTAGCTTCCAAGCAAAAGCTGTTCAATATCTCTAAGCCCTGGGGGTCTAGAATGAAGGAGGATCATTCTTAGCTCTTATTTATTATTTCTAAATAATAACATCACAGACTCATAGAAAATTCAGGTTGGAAGGGACCTCAGGAGGTCACATCTAGTCCAACCCCTTGCTCAAAGCAGGACCACCCCAACTAGATCAGTCCAACCAGGGCTTTGTCAAACCGGGCCTTCAAAACCAAGGATGGAGACTCTTCCACCGGCCTAGATAACCCATTCCAAGGCTTCACCACCCTCCTAGTGAGAACATTTCGTTTTTCTTAATATCCAACTTTAAACCTCCCTTGCTTATCCTTAGCTGCAGATCAAGGGGGAGGTCTATGGAAGACTGGCTGCAAGAGGCCCTTGCCTTCCCCGCATCCTGACCAGTTGTGTACAGCAGGATGGTCAAAGCCCTGCAGCACAATTTAAAGAGTGGGGAAGCTACTACATTAGAGCAAATTTCACCTGATCATCCCTATATTACAAAGGCAGAGAAGTCATGTGAGTTGCCCATACGCATCAGTCCTTACCCCTAGTCCTCTTCTTGTGCTTCTAGACTATATTATCCTACAAAATGTCCAGAACCTGGCCTCTTGAGTTAGCCCCAAAATATCTCATGCCATTCAATGTGAGAGTAACTTAGCCAGGGATTTGCATAAATAATCTCTCTCCTACAAGAACATGCAAGAATGCCATCAAAATGGCAGGGGAACTTAAAAGCTATATTTTGCTACGAGCATTTGTAACAAAGAGGAAAATTGTGACAGCATGACGCCTGTTCTCCTGAAAAGAGGCTTGAAATCAAAGATTATCATTTTATTGCCTTTTGTACCTCTTATATGTTTTCGCTTCCCTTGAAGAAAACAGAAACCTCTGGCAGCTCTCATTAAATACAAAGCGCAAAAAAATTCCAGGACTTCTTGTCTGTTCTAGCAACCACACTTAGAAAGAGGCTTTTAGAAAGGGTCCTTGATAGTTTTACTGTTCAAGGGGTATTTGATGGGACTAGGTAAGTAACAGAGCAGCAGTGGGAAAGCAGCAAAGAAAAAGTTATCGGCATGTCAGTAAACATGGCCAAGAGCAAACGCTCATTCTAACACTTCATTAGTGCAATGGTTTTAGCACTGAGCCTGGCTGATACGATCACTCATGCTGGATAGTACCTTGCTCTATGGAAGCCAGGGAGATTTCTTGGGGAGGATAGCACTCTTCAGGGTAGGTAAGTGTACACTGCAGTCCCCCGGGCCACACCAAGGCTGATAGCTTCCATCTTTAACGTGCATTTTGGAAAGGTATAATTTTCACTCGAAGTCTACCAAACTGAAATGCAAAAAAAAAAAAAAAAGTCCAAAGGGAGAGCCGCATTGCAGTAAACAGCAGACCTTATTCACCCCGTTCCAGGAAGACTTACTGAGCTGTTGGAGGCGAAAGTGTTCCTCTCCTCCCATATGTTATAGACCATTCAGTGCACTGAAAAATAGTGATTTTTGAGCTTTGCGGGGAGGGAAAAACCCCCACCACACAATCTATAATGCTATGCATGGGGGAAAAAAAAACCTAGCTAGTTTTCCTGCTTTTGTGTCGCACAATGGTGAAACCATGGAAATTTATCCTTTTGATTTCTTTCCTTTGCTTGCTTAAGTAACTGCATCTTTCCTATAAATAAACATCAGCCTTTGGCTTTTGCAACATCCATTTGCAGTGGCTTCTTCATAGATTCACAGCTCGTAACTATTAGAGCACAGCAATTTTCTTGAAAATGCAGGGGAAATTTTCAAAAATTTCAAAGCCATCTCTCCGCATTCAAAGCTCATCATTTAAATAACAGTCAAATGATCAAAATGATTATCGGCACTTTTCATCACCCGAAAACAAGCAGCAAAATCTGAGCGCCGTCTGGACGACAAGTAAGTTTTCACCAGATTTACTTTTAAAACGGGTCCATTTCAAGTTTTGGAGGAGAAAGGGGGTTCGGCACATCATCTAGACCAGTGGTTCTCAACCTTTTTCCTACTGTGACCCATTTGCAAGGATCCATGGCCTGTCCCAACCCACATCCCCATGGCCCTGCCGGTGCATGACCCCCAGTGCCCTGGCCCCCTGGACTATGCTGATGTCCCTCACTCCCAGCCCGCAGCCCCCTGCCCTGCTGCAAGGACCCCCTGTCCTACTTGGGCTGGAGCATGATGGCTGTGATGGCTCTGGCTCATGCTGGTGGCAGTGAAGTGGGTCCGGCCCTGGCACAGGCTGGAGGGAGGAGGAAAGGCCTGTGGCAGCCCCCTGCCCTGGGCTGGGCTCCGGGCAGCTGCTCATGGTCCCTCCCACACCCCGAGCAGTCTCTCCCAGCCGCCTCAGCCCCGGTGCCACCAGCCTGGCCATGCAGCTCTCCCCCACCCCCTTTCCCCACTGGAAGGGGCAGACACTTCCCTGCTGCCCCCTCTGCAGCTCGTGACCCTGTGAAATAGTCTTGCAACCCACTTTTATTTCGTAACCTGCAGGTTGAGAAACGCTGATCTAGACAGACGCATACTAGCGTTAAAAAACGAGGACAGACGAAATGAGCAGATTTTAGCTACCGAATTTACTGGTCCATGTTGAGGTCTCAGTAAATCCGTTCAGGGAAAAGGAGACATCAAGATGCAGCTTTATCATGAGCCTGAAACAAACCATTTCTGTGGTTTGGCAAAGTCGAAAGATTTCTATCTAATATATGTAATACGTTTCCAAGCACTTACCCCATGCTCATTACCTTGCTATCTGAATGCTCACCCAAATGATCGTTCCAGCTAGTATTTTTCATGTTGACAGCTGCCTGCCAGCTCTGCTTATAGCCAGAAGTGCTTAAAAAAAGCTAAAAATAGAGAGAATCTGTTCTCTTGAGCACAAGTCTATAAATCCAAAAATACATAAAAGGGAACCCAGCGTACAAAGTGTACATCCAGGCTAAACCAACCCTTGGGTATTTCCGAGTTTCATCCATTACCGGGTAGGACAGAGAAGCCTGTAACTGTTTGTATGCCCACGGCTTATCACATTGGTGCCATAGCAGAAGGCACCGCTCTATCTTAATCCCTCCCACCCACACACACTAAAAAGTGTAGTCTGTGCTTCGGAAGCAACCAGTCAGATCAACCCATGCTCCTCCCATGGATGTACAGGCTCTTGAGCCAACATGATCCCATTTTGGGGGCTGGTTGGACTTTTGTCTCGGGAGAAGACTGAAGGGACATGTTGAATTACTTGGGGAGATGGTGAGATCTCCACTACTGTAGGTTTTTCAGACCGGGTTAGATAGACAGCTGTTTGGAGTGGTTTAAGTAGAGCAGATCCTGTCCTAGGGTTGGGGGTGGACTAGATCAGTGGTTCTCAACCTTTTTGTACCAGGACCCATATGAAAACATCAACGGCCAGTCACAACCCAGTGGCCATCACTCCCAACTCGCTGCCCGCCACTCCCAGGCCTCATCCCCCCAGTATATGGGGCCGGGGGTATGTGGGTGGGGCATGGGGGGCCCCTCACAGGCTGAAACCTTGCCAGTCTGCAAGGGAAAAGCCACAGTTTTCTCCTTTAAAGAATAACCCATGTTTAAAGTTTGCTGATTCATTTTCACAGTTTGTTCATGACCTTTTCATATATTCTTGCAACCCACAGGTTGAGAAACACTCAAGAAAGCCTTTTGTGGACCCTTTCAACTCTATTTTCTCTCATTTGTTGCTCCCTAGAGCTCAGTTTAATGGGCTCAATAGGTACAGAAATGCATCCAATATTTGGGCTGCTCATTCAAGCCAAGCTAAACTTTTGTGGTCCATCCACCTATATAAGGAAATCCCCGCTTTTTCTATCTACCTCTTTGCCTGCTTGCCTTCCTTCTTCTCTCATCATATTAGTGCCATCCATGTTTCTCTCTCCCTAACTACCCCTCTCTCCTCAAAAACAGACTATTTTGTCTTCTCAAGAATAGAGTCCGCTGTGAAAAGGATGCTTGAGTGGGAACATGAAGATGGGAGGTGGAAAGGAAATGGGGGTCAGGGAAGGGTGGGGAAACAAAGGAAATCAGCCACTGAAGGATCAAATAAAATGAAGTCAAAAGAAAAGAAATAAAGAGGAAGGACATTAAAGAAGGTCTTGGGTTTTAGCCAATTGGGTTTTAGTCAACTGGGTTTTAGTCAATTGGGATTTGGGATTCACGAGCAGCACCCATCGTGCCTCCTGGCTGAGCGGTGGGATCAGTGAGGGAAGGTGCATTTGGCTGAGCTACTGCACCTGATCCAGCCCTCTACCTTGCCCCCCACCAACACCCCTGCAACTCCCCCTAGACCTCTCTCCTGGACTTGCCTGTGCTGTGCAGCCTGGCTGGTTGGCATGAGCTCTGCCAGCGGTTTGCACAGGGTTGCACCCCTGGAAGTGTGAAGGCCGTACCCCCCCGAGGGCAGGAGGGGGAGTTGGCTTAGTGCCCCCAGGGCAGTAGAGTTCTTGGGGGTAGAAAGTTTGTCCAAATATAACAGAAGGATGAGGGAGGGGACACTGTATCCTGGGATGCTGGAGGACTGCAGCTCAGGCAGTTCATCTGTGGAGAGTGGCTACACATTAATGGCAGAGAAGCTCGGTAACACAGATCAGAGATAAACCTGCCCTGGACAGGCATAACCTTAAGCTGCCTAAAGTGTGCTTACAACTAGTTTCAGGTGTTAATGTGTGGATAACCCGGGGCTAAGAGCTCCAGAAGCCACCTAAAATGAATGTGCAACAAGGCCCTTAGTAAAACAGGTGATCTCTGAGAACGTGAAGGACTGACAAACTCCAACTCACATCTTATACAACCTAAGAGATCTATTTACCCAGAACAAAACCTCTCCTTTTGAGCTGTTATACTGAAAATGGATTGTAAAATATTTCTCTAATAGCACTTAAGGAGAAAATCCATTATGTGAGTCCATTTTCCTACTCGCAATGACCAGCAGTAGCCTTTGTGTTGAGCAGAAGACCTATTTATAGGTTTGCATCTCAATCTTTATCATTTAAAGCACCTGCTATGAACAAACATAGATGTTTGACATTCTTCATTGCTATATACTAGCAGAAAAAAAATGGCCCTTTTCCCCAGGTTTTTACCGATTGTATAAAGGTACATTGGATCATTGTGAGTGACATGGCTAGAAAATAATTGCATATTAATTGCAAAAAAAATGTCTAAAGTGCTCATTTCTAAGTACTTAACTCTTGCATTATCCCTCTGCAAACCAGTTGACATTCTCCAAGGGTGGGTGAGACACCTTCACAAAAAGAAGCTGCTGAAGTAGAAATGGGAATGTCATGTCTAATGCATTGTTTTCGAGATGGCTGATGACTGGCAGAACAAAATTAAAGTATTCTATTGCCTTTATGGGTCTTCTAATTTCTTATTATTTAAACCTTGCTTGCCTTTCATTACCAGGAACTATATGATGTTCATGCCTTAAGATTCCACCTTCTCCTGTTACTTATTCCCTACCTGGAGTCTTGCTATTCCCTGGAGGCCATCCTTTTGGCAGTAATGTCACAAGACGATTACAATGGCATATAAAGAGATTATGGCTAGACTGTTGCTCCAAAAGCTCACATGCAGGGAAAAAAGACCCGCGCATATTTGCAAGCACAACTAAATCTGCCTGAACCTGATTATTGATAAACAGGAGAATTGAATGGATGTGGACAAACAGACCCAGTCAAAGATTAAGCATGCATAATCCACATGAAAATGCAGCTGTATCCAAGTGACAGGACTGGGGAGAGCATGACTACACTGGGACAGAAAGCAGCTGTACAGATGATCTTGTTGCCGACCAGAGATGGCTCGTCAACAGGGATTACTTACATGCATCGGTTCATATATCATGTTGGTGCGTCTTTGAGCCTCAGGACAGTCTGAGCAGAAGCTGCCACTGGGGAGGTTTGTCCAAAGGCCAAGGAGGTGAACTCAGAGGAGGATCAATTCACCTGCCTTGCAATGCAACATGCCACTCCTTTCCTGAGGTCCTAAGAGATGAAGGATCCATGTGGGGTGGTTGCTGCAGTTTCTCCCATGAGTATACAGAACAGTGATTTCAACCAAGGTGAGAGGCACCCTTGGGCACCTCCAGATCCTTTGAAGGGTGCTGTGAGGAGACACGCAGGTAAGCCAAGCAGATAAACCAGGGCTTGTCCCTTCCTGGATGATCCCCCACCCCTCCTGCCCAGCCCCCATGCAAGGAAGTAAGCACTGTAATATATAAATTAGTTTTGGAAATTGGGTGCCAGTCAATTCACAGAAGTTATGCAGGGGGTATCTCAAGCCCAATGAGCGGTGCCGTGAGTCCAAAAAGGTTGAGAGCCACTGCGATAGGGCATGGCTGCATGTTTCATCAGAAGGCTCCCAAGGAGCAGGGCTCCAAAGAACAGCCCTGTCCATCACAGCAAAGACCTGAGAACTTCCCCAAGCACTTCTAATTAAGCAACATATAAGCAGCAGGACCTCTTTTAACAGCTCTGCATCCCCCGTGCAGCAAGTAGGGAGGCAGAGGGACATGAGATATGGAACTGGAAAGACACTGAATCCAAGTCCATGCTGTTGGAGGTAACCAGAACGTATACCAGGAGGCAACCACATCCTTAAATTAGATTCGGAAATGTGTCAAACTCCAGTATAATATTACTTAGGGTCATTTGCCACCAGTACTTCTACTGGAAAGCTATCCTAGAACTGTCCTCACAATGGTCCTTCCATACCCGTGTCAGCTACCTAAAATATCGACCAAGATGCCTCATGAAGGACTAACAACATCTGATTTCTTTGGTCTCCAGATTTCTTCCCAACACTGGACACAGGCCCAGGCTGTCTGCACAAACCATCTTTTGCTTTGCCATGGCACACTTTGCACACAGTCACCCCTGTTGAGCATCAATCCAAATATTTGCATTTTGGATTTGCATTCCAAATTACATCTGTGCCGCTTTCACATCAGGTTTCTATGCACAATGTTGCCTAGGCAGCGTATTCACAGAATCAGGGAATTTTAAACCAGATATTGAATGACATTGGTGGAAAACGAGGTTTTAATTCATAGTTCTGAGTACTCATGCCAGAAACCTGAGTCTATCTATTATCCAATGCTGATTTGAAAAAATGCCATGACATGTATGTATCCAATGGAAACAGCTACCATTTCAAATTTTGAATACTGAATCCTTGTAACAAATTGGTCCACAATCGTGTAGCAAATAATTTTGAACAAGGGGGGGGGGGCTCACAAAACAATAAAAGCTGTCAAACAGATTATTTTTACAAATTATTTGCCTGGCCCTAATATTTAACAAGGAGTTACATTTTTCTTACTGACAGTTCATCAGAGACAAAGTGCTTTGCAGTTAAGTGAATTCGTGCAACTGGGAAACCATTGTCCCGTTTTATTGACTTTCATTTTTTAAAGGTCTGACACATGAGAGGAAATAAACTTGTGTCCAATTACATTTTATCCTCTCATAAAGCTTTCATAGTTTTCCCAGATGTTAGCTCAAATTGTTCTGTTTTTTGTTTTTAAAGAAGCAAGCAATGTGACAGCTTGAACAGAGCAAAGGACACATTTATTTTTAGAAGATGGATTTTAGGTATGAAAAATTGGTGGGCAGAAGCAGTGACAAGGAGAACTGAGTGAATGTCTCAAAAGAAATTCCAGGAATATTTGTTCAAATGTTTATACCAATTGGGTTCAACTGAGCTCACACTCCATTTGGCTATGTGTCTGGGGGCACATCTACATGAGATGCTTTAAGGCACATTAGCCTAAATTCACAGCGCACTAAGGTGCACATCTACATGTGCATGCCCTTAATGCGCTTTCAAAAAGGCTATTTTTGAGCTAATCAGGCATTTTTATACATGCGAGTGCTGTACCACTGGACACTTTGAAAAGCGCCCGGCACTGTGATGCTTGCAGTTGTACAAGTGGCGAAGTACACATTAGTGCTGAGAAAATGGTGGCAGTGCACTTTTGAATTAAAACACAGAAGGTGTTTTAGTTCAAAAGTGCACCACCACCATTTTCTGCATGCTGATGAGCACTTTGCCACTTATACAACTCCATGCAATGCAGCGCAATGCGTGTCAGCTCATGTGCAGAGCAGACGCTGAAGTGGCAGATCTCTGGCACATTGGGGGACCAAAACCTATGTGTATAAATGCCCATCGTCCCTACACTTAATACTTGGCAAATGCAAGTATCAAAATTAGGCGTGAATAGTTAAAGAGCAGTAATGCATGTGTAGACACGTTAAAGTGCATTAACGCTCTGTGTGCAGACTGACCTGGGGCTAACTTTAGTCCCAAGTCAGTCCACACACAGCATTAATGTGCTTTAACACCTGTACATGTATAGACGCCTGCCTAAACCCACTTAATGCACATTTAAGTGCACCTAAATTTAATGCGCATTAGGTTAATGCGCATGTAGACATGCCCTGTACTAGTGT